CAGCAGATTAATGTCTTTTCTTAGTTACAAGCAAGATAATTAAGCTAAGTGTGCTCCCCTTGATCTTTCTATCCCTAGGCCGTTCACCTGAAAACATGAAAACAACATATTTTGGGATATGGTTCTATTCATTTTGTCTGCATCTAATATGTCCCGAATTGGTTGCTGCTGTCTTTTAACGTTTGCATTTACAGTGAAATGACAAACTTCCCTGTGTGCTTAATTCCATATGATTTCCCATATTATCATTCAGAGTTCTGGCGCCAATTCCCAGCTATTTTCACATGCAATCATAGTTATTTATTTTATTTATAATAATGAGGAATCTGTCCAAATTTCTTTGCACTTACATTGCAAATTTGACAAAATAACACAAAAACCACACCCAAACACAATAAAACTCTTACATATGCCTTTTAAGATGGTAACATAAAACCCCCTTTAGGGCAATATGCAGCAGAAAGGACTTCTTAAGCACGTTTAATTAAATGTTTGCTTTCCAAAAAATTCCCCAAACCTGATGACGCTTTTGATTTTTCTTTGTGTGTACCTGTACATCTATAAAGAGGAAGAATACAGGGAGGATGAAAGATGCCAAGTTGCTGGTCTTGCAGAATATGATTTTGCTGTTTTGTTCTTCTGCACAAAATTAATACAGTGCCAAGGCAAGCTTTCTTTAAAACTGTCCTGCCATTGTGCCTTAATTCTGATGGGGTGGGGGGAGATGAATAGCTAGAAGAGAATCAGAAACTCCTCTAAATGAAATCCTGGCTCCCTGAATTACTTTTTTGGAGTGTGAATTTGTTGCTTTTTGGCCTCATTTTGGCCTAGATGTAACAGTGGTAAGTGCAAATCATGTCTTTCTGTCCAATAAGAAGTGCTGAAAATATTTGAAGGAAAAAGTAATATACATTATTAGATCAACTCACAGCGGAGAAAAAAAGTTGGAGGCAAAACCCTGAACTTCCGTGGTATGCCTGAATATAGCCTTTATAGTGTTTCATCCCTGACAGTCTTTGTTATTATGATTATAGGGACAAATTTCAATTAAATCATAAACGTTTTGATTTGTTTGACATACATAAAAACTATTGTTTAGATTTAGTGTCTAAGGAGCATTAATATGTATTAATTTACCAAATCATCTTCCTATGAGCAATTCAAAAGTTATCTGAAGGTAGTAATCTCAGATCATTATCAGCCTGAGCTTCATTCAATCCTGCAACCTAGAGGTAAAAATTCTATTATCCTAAATTTATCCCTCTGATTTATTCAGCCTCTTTAAGTGCATATTTTCATGTGCCTATAAAATATCTAGAATCTGAAAGCCTCTTCAGAAAGCACTTCTCACTATTTCCCCATCTCACTTGTTAAGGTATTAGAAGTTCCCACTATGTTACATTCTTCATATGGTCCCTATTTCATTGAGTGCCAAGCAAATAAAAAACATTCTATTAAAAATCCTGTCTTTATTTATGAAATTACTCTGTCTCTTAAACAGACGGCTGTCTCAGATACTCCTCTTTCCTATTGAAGTTGAGACAACAAGTTGGTTTCTGCTGTTTTGAAATGTACAATTTCAAAATGTCAGCAACAGAAGAGCCACCAGAGAGGTCTGTACACCTCACTAGCCATCTTCTGTTCATGAATAGCTATGATTTAAGTTGCTGTTCACAAATTTGGGAGGGTGCAGCAAGTGGAATAGTACGGTTGCTACTTTCCCAAGAAAGATTAATCTGATAGAGAGGTTTGCATCCCCAAAAAAGGATATCAAATACATAATATCGAAATATTCTTATCTTTTGGCATAAGATCAACTTCAACACTCTTCTTAAGTAAGCTCCAATGCACATTTAATCTTTAGCGATATGCTACAGGGCAACTGACGTTACATGTACTGGATTAAAAACCCTGGTCCTCGGACTATGTTCTATAAGGTACAATATGTTTTTATGTCCAGTAACATCTATCTTGCAACTTCATTTGCTCTTCTTTACCAAAATAATTCAGTGCACTATGGTCCTAAATGTCTTTATAACACAGCACCTACTATTATAAAGGGAAAAGGATGGTCTATGAGTAGGGTATACCAGTGAAGAATAGGAACAATTAGCAGAGAAAATAATGCCGAAGGGCTTCCCCTCTGCTATCTCATTCTGAGTGAATCATCTTAAAACGTGATGTTCTGCTCTACCTTTAGTTCATCCTTGCTTTGGAAATTGTCCAGTAAGTGCTGGAAATGTGTGTCTGACATCTGACGGAGCAATGATAAAAGGCAGGACACATATTCTCCCTGTTGGCCAAATGAGAAATTCTTTAGTTCAGACAAACTGAAACTTCATGAATACAAAAATCAACCTGGGGTAAGGTACAAAGGGAGGGGTCTGAAATGGCCCCAATGCCTATGAGAGGAAAGCTGACATGCACAGAGATTAAAAATATTGCACGTTATCACTTCTTTAATTATTGTTAAGTATAGGAATACATCTCAAAGGCTCTTCCACAGACGCCATTTTAACAGATCTTTTAACAAATGCTGTCATCTAAACAAAAATCATTTAAAATGATGAATACAGACACTAATATATTTCCCTATAAACACGCAGTTTTTGTTAATCACTTTCTGACTTACTTTATGCATAATATACTATGACTAACAAAGATGTGACAGCAGCTTATACTAACATACCTAGAATGATTTAAACTAATTGGCTCAGATACTGAAAACAGTATAGCTATGGCAGCATGGGATGACTACAGGCTACAAAAGGTGTCTGGAATCTTGTAAATATCTCAGTTATTGGTGTACGCTGAGTTATGCGCTGTCATAGCTGTAATGCTAACAGTACTCCAGTGCGATACCCTGAATATAGTTTGGGTAAGCCTACATGAGCTACAATTTCATTTTTGGCCTGCAATGTAGATGCACCCTAACCAGTTACCACAATCTCCCAAAGTGCTTTCCAAAGGTGAGCTCCCCCATTTTACACATCTGAAAGTAAAGCACAGAGAAGTTAAACCATCTGTCCAAGGCAACAAGCAAGGCAGTGGCAAAAGGTCAGGAACATGTCTTTTGACTGCCAGTCCCCGGCACAATGCTATTTCTTCTGTGGCAATGAGAAATTAAATTCGGAAAATATACAAACTATGTTCTAAGCACCATCTAATAAGGTTCCACATATGACAGCACTGTCAAATATGAATATATCAGGAATGCTTATGCGGCGATTTTATACTTGGGACTCTCCTTTCCATTTGGTTTTAAATTGGCTCAAGCATCTACCCAGAAGCCTTGGCCTATGTTATTCCAATAAACTTTACAGTGTTGATCTCCATTAGGGAAAATGGTGTGCTCTTATGTGTGAGGTGGCGTGTGAAATGATAGGAGTAAAAGGAAGCTGAGATGTTACTGGACATCTGCAAGCTAACACCTTTCTTGTGATCCTATATCAAAGGATATAGGTGAAAACTGCTGACTGCCTTGTTCCTTATTAGAATTCCACCATGTGATAGTTGCTTTATTTGAGCTAACATGTGGAAGGAAATAATCTTTTCACCTGTGTACCTTAGTGCACACCTACCCCCACAACATCTCTGAGGTCTCACCCATTTGATAAGAAAGTAAGTCTAGTAAAAAGGATGTTCTGAACAACAGCTTAACATCATACATGGTGCAAAACCTGCATTAAAGATTCAGTCAAGTAAAGACAGATTAGGCTACACTAGGCTAGACTAGAAAGGGCAATAAATTCAGGAAAGAAAAAGGCTGAACAGCAATTCGGTCCTGTTTCTCCTTTTCCATTGCATACCAAGAAAAAAAACTCTTCCCTCTCAGTTTATGCTGGCAGTCTATAAAAAGAAGTGGCTTTTCCTTCTTTTCCCACCCAGCTCTACAGCTCACTTGACTTAGGATCAGTTAATTTCTTTTTCAAAAGTATGCTGTGGTTCATTTGCATAAAGTAATCAGTGAAACCAAATAGAAGCACTCCAGGGTGTTAAGCGAAGGGACTTGTCCGCTGGTAATTTTTGTATTGTCAGTCTTAGGAATCAGAGCCTGATGCTCATACAGCCATTGCTGATTCCTATTTAGAGGTGGAACCCTAGGTGGCTACCCAGTTAGCATATGCTTGAAGTTCTAAAAGACAATTTTTGATCACAAATGCAAAGACAATCCAAGGAAATAAACTGGAAATCCACAATAGCTTCCTGGGCCCCACTGCTTCCTGCAGGCCTCACTACTGCACAGAGGAAGGACTAGATCGGTGGTTTATGAGGTAAAGAAATAAACCCTGGGTGTTCATGCAGGAGAGAGAATGATAATGAGGTGCAGGTGGTGGTGAGGGACTGAACCAAAGGTTAGAGAAGCAGGAAATAGAAACTGATTGTTAGTTACTAACAGTGATTTCTGCTGTGCACTGCGGGCAACGCTGCCCTCTTACCGCCTCCTGAGACTGCGATTTACTCATGATTGTAAGCAGAGTTTGTAAAAGCACATCCAGGAGGCTCTCCACCATCATCTCAACTTCCTCCACGACATCTCCCTCCTACAGCAAGTGGTGAGCAAACAGACAGTTAGCGACTGTGGAGAGAATAGAAGTGGCAAAGCAATTCTGCTGAGACAGCCAAACCACAAATGTTTTGATGAAACTTGCAGAGAAGAAATGGAGAACTCCATAATGGAAGTTCAGAGAAGTACAGTCAAATTCATCATGGCTACCAGACACTGCTGTGACGCCAATGTATTTGTCCCTACCTTACCTCCATCCTTACTGATGCAAACGCTCAGGGTCACAGCAAAAAAGGTCTGCATACATTCTAGAACATAGTGGGATCAAATTGTGTTCAGTACCCTTTATTCTATGGCAGCATAAATTTTACTTATTATCATGATACCTTTCTTCTCAATCCTTTCACATTAAACTATAACTTGTAATTGAAAATGCTCATCAGTGTGATTTATATTTAGCACCATGAACTTCCTCCATTAGAGTCAGCTCGGGACACTTCACCACGCTCTATTTGTGAGCGTTGCTTTAAATGATCAAGTTAACTTTTGAGACATTATGATAATCAAGCTGGGTGTTTAACTCAGCAGCAATTTCTGAAAGTATGTGTAATTTCATTGATTGGATAATTTTAGAGTATTCTCTTAACATGAATCATAAAGTGCTAGTTACAGTCTCTTGCAGAACTACAAGTCCTAGAGCTGCGTAGGGCTTTTGAACTCCAATGACATCTAAGTTCTGGGCTTGGATGAAGAAAATTAAACAGTGTCAAACCTGGTAAATGCTTTTTCCCCCTCCTAACAGCAAGAACACTGTGTAATCAGAATGCTCTGAGTCACACACACACAAAAGCAGACACTCATTTCAGATCTTCTCCTGCTGACAGAAAATTAGCAGAATTTTGTTGTCAAAAGGATCTTTGAAAAACCCGTATTAACCGATAAAAATTCCTCAGTCTTCAGTTTACTAATTCAGTAGTGAAATTAAAAAGTCAAGCAGAAGATTACCAAAGAGCTGGTCTTGATTATGGAGAAGATACTACTGAGGATCCCAGAGCAGATGAGTAGCTCCTTCTGCTGTCGTAAGTGAAGGTGAATGTGGTGAAGAACCACAGGTAGCAGGATGCGCCGGGACTCTGAAAGAGGGAAAAATCAGATCACAGTTTTTTCAAGAGAGACCTGAATTTCAATCATCCCCATCAGCAGCCTTTTGGTATTTTGGAGAAATGGGACGCTCAAATTAAAAGAAGATGCTAATTACAGTAGAATCCGCTTAACTAGTCTACTGATAGACAGCGTACTTAATCAAGTGATGAAATTTCTATGGTACAACACACTTCTGAGACCTCTATATAATTAATTAATACCACATCTAGTTGCAAAAGTTAATAAAAACAGTATGCATGATGTTTGCGATAGTGATTCAGCTTGGAAATAACAGTTGCGAATGGACACTTGCTTGTCTTGTGTTGATTACCTATTGTACAGACCTTTCCTCACCTCACGATGCCTTCTGGCTCTATTGTCTCACACCTAATAGAGCTTCTTCAATATTTTTTCCCTCTTGGGTAATGTGTTAATTTAGCTTTTCTTTTAGCTGGCTTACAAAACCAGCTTAGACCTTATTACAGAAGGGAGAGTTTCTAACTTCTGGGAGGCAGTACCAACTCTGATTTTGCTCCACGTGCTTCTCCTTTTATAGCAATTCTTCCTAAGGGTAATGCCTTGTATCCCTACTTCAAGCTGGGAACAACCATTCTAGAACAGGTAGGAGCTGCAGAAAGCAGCCAAAACAGGAAAAATAAGTGGCAACACATCAGCAAACTGTCTGAGAGGAGAGATGGAAGGAAAACAAGTTATCATCAGATAGGTGTCAAGAAAGCAGAATGGACTTCTCTTTAATTGCAAGGCCTAAAGGGAGGGTAGGGGTGAGCAGGCAAAAGTTGACTTTGAAAATTAGCTTTATCTTCCCGGGGCAGACAGAGCTTCATGGTTGACACTGGAATTGAGCACCGGGTCATGCCTCTGTGGGAAGGAACAGGAGAGGGGAAAATGTGGCATAAATCCATTCATAACTGCTTTGCAGTGCTGAAGCTTGCTTTCTGGCTTTTGATGCTGCAGTGAGAAGTCATTGTACTATTCAGCAGGTGAAAACATCACTGGCTCCCAGTATGATTGCGGAGGAGAAAGGAAGGTTAATGGGAGGCACTAAAGCCCCTTGACCCTGTGGGTAAAATTGCACCTGGCTTCATTACGAATGCAGAAGAGATAGAGGAGAGGTTATTAAAAATATGCATCAGTTTTGCTAATCTGTCCATGACTTGGCACCCGCAAGGACAAATACTTGAACTACTACGTTCAAAACATTATAATTAGATGAAACACATTGCTTGTGTCACAACCACCTTTGCACAAATCTGCCCATTCCCTGCACTCTCTTCCTCATATTTTACAAAATGCAATTTCATATTACAAAAAATAAACAGATGTTTCTAAATAATTACACTAGACAGTTTAAGCGTGGTTTTGTATTGTGATTATTCTCACGCTGAACTGAACAGAATAATCTAAGTGCACTAACTTGAGATTCTCATTACATGGAAGAGAAGCCCTATGGTGCTTTTCATCTTCCGCTATTATCTTCACAACTTTTTCCATTCAGACCTTTATGTATGAAATAAACTCCCAGTCTTCTACCCTTCTTCATTCAATCCGTCCTAAAGAATTACTAATAAATTGAGATATACAAACATTAAAGTTATAATGTAAAGATTAAATATATTTTAGAAGAATGTGATGGATTTCACATGTAATTTTATCTCTGTTTCTCTTCTGAGACTATAAGCTTGCCAGAAAGGAGGTTATCTTCATATCCATGCCTTTGAAAACGATAGTAATAAACAGTAGAAGCGTAATAGAAAGTACCAAGTAATATTTGACAGTTTTAATAATTGGCTTGATTTGTTTATGTACATATTTTTATCAACCTTTCGGAACTCAAATTTATCCAGGATAGTTTTATTAACATTTTTCTATTGTAGGAAAACTTGTAACAAAATGCACACAGTGAATATATGAAATGATGATGCCAAGATAAATAACTTCCAAGATTTTTAGCATTCTGCAAACGACTGTTTGCAACAAAGCAACTGCAAAATAACTGTAAAGTGCTCCTGCTCTCAGTTAACAGCAAGACTTAGAATCAGAAACTGCCATCTCACCTGAGAAAGAGAACAGGCGGCTGTCAACAGTGCGTGCAATAGACTGTAGCTTAACAACATCCATTGATTGTCCAATATGTACTGTACTGGGCATGCTGCCCAGGGTACCCCTCACAAACTCTGCTACTTCCTGCACAGTGAACATCTGTAGCAGCTCGTCAAAGATAGCGGGGAAGGAGTTCAACAAAGCAGCCTGAAAAAAGCAAATGAGGAAATTGGAAATGTTGAATTCTGTAACTCCATCTAAAGGCAGTGAAGTAGAAAGAAACAACAGTAAACCTGAATTAAGGGTCTGCAGAAAGCTCCTATTTAGTGCAGCATGGCTGGTGTTAATGTTTTGTAATACCTAAAGTTCATAGTAAATGAGTAACGTAGCATATAAAAAAAAATCAAGCTCTGTTGCAATACTAAGTCATATGATAAGCTGAGCACATAGTTACAATAAAGCTTCAAAAGGCTATATTTTAGGCCATAGCTTATAAAATGATGTCTTAAAGACAGAAAAACATTCAGGTAGAGAAGAACAGAAAATAGTCAATTTTTTTATTTACTCTTTTCAATAAAATGCAAAACATGCTTCTGATTAGACAGTTCAATACAAATTCTTGTACTAAGCAACTAAGTAAGAGAGTTAAAACTCTTCTCAAAACATTTTAAAGAACATGCTGACAGACCCTCAACCACAGTAACACTGCCATGTGGTATCACAGCAGTTCTGTAACAGGGGTAGGGTGCAATCGCTTGTGAAAGAGGCATCACATCATGCAAGTAAGAGTGCCCATGACTTTTCCAATAAGGGATATTTCCAGTAAGCTTCAGCTCTCCTCAAAAGTGTTTCTTACAGTGCAAAAACAAGATCAACACAGCAAAAATCAAGCTCTTCAGCTCATATTTTACCCTTTTTCAATTAACTTCATAACAATAGGAAATTCCGTGCATCCCCCTATTCTCAGTATCCACAGGTCTGGTGTTATACCTAACAACTGTTACTCACCCCTAATATAGGATGTGTTAAATCCCTCTTCTTCTTCCTTTACATCCCACCCAAGATCCATGCTTATTTCCTTCGCTACAATTGCTTACATTCCCAGATGGTTGCTTTGTTGAACCGCTCGCTGTATTCCCCGGGTTTGATTCAGCTACCTTCCTGCCATCCACCCCAGCCACAGCGTCTCCACCATGCACACACATGTCCCTTCTCGCTGCCGGGACCTCACTTTTTGGAGGCTTGCTGCAGTAGTTCAAATCTACCAAACCTCGTAGCAGGTCTCCGTTCAGCTTTGCCCCACCTGAGTTGCCCCACCGATCATTACTTTCTTCCACTCTGGAAGCTCTACTTTTCCTCACAGATTTTTTTTGCTTTCTCATGCCAAAAACATTTCCGTACTTTTCCTGTGCCAGCTCTCAAGATACTTGGGGTATCTTTCCTAATCCCATATAATATACAGCTTCCTTCCTCTCCAAGCCCTTCCTCAAATTATCTTTTCCTTCAGACAACAATGTCTATTTTATAGCCTTTTATCAACAAAGTAAAAACTACATTTATAACTAACCTAGCAAACATTGTAGAACCCATTAAATTAGTCCGAATATAACTTTACCTCTTTCTTCTTCTTCCTTGTTATCTCTCCCAACATCTTGCCCTTTTACAATCAATTCAGATCACATAAAAACCCACACAAGTCTCCTGTGCTACATACATAGAATGTACTAACACAATAAACAAACGTGAATTGTTTGAAATAGTTCATGGTACTCTTGGAAGGCTACAATAACTGCAAATCCATTCATCACCTTTATCTTTGGGGTAATCGCCTCGAAGGAAGGACACAGCCAGTTTTAAACTCATTGCTGGAAAGAACTGTACTGAAATCTCTCTAATATCCAGGATAAGTGGGCAAATGTGAAGAAAATTACTTTTGCTAGGGCCTCAAGTGTTGCTGTAGTTATTTAATGGTTCTCCAGGTTTCTGGGACTGGAACACGCTTTCCTTGATTCTCCTGAATTCTCCTGAACAAGCTGATTGATATAAGTCTCGAGTATGCCCTTAATACCACCTTTTCAGTGTGCTGATGCCCTAAGCTGTTCAATTATTTACTGAAATATTCCACATTTCCTAGTTTAAAGTACCAGCCAGTTAAACATTAAATTCCAGTTTATATGCAGGAAAAGATTGATTGGGGTAGGGAAGAGAGAGTCACTGGGAACATCCACGGTCCAATACTTGTGCAGTTTAGGGCATCATTACTTACAGAATTAAATGTCGGTCTTGAAGTACCACCACATTTTTGTGGGGCACATGTCCCAGCTCCGCTCACCTGCCCTCCAGGCTGAGGCGCCTATGGGCCAATTGGGATCAAGGGGCAACACAGTGGCACGGGGGAAAACAAAAAGTAAACTTTTCAAAGATTAAACAAGGACAAGCTTCACAAATTACAGAATTCTAAAGTAAAGATAGTAAGACAGAGAGTAGTGAGAGAAAGAAAAGCAAAAAAAAAAAAAAAAAAGGAGAGCGCAAAAGAGAAAAGGGGGAATAACCCCATCCTCAAATCCAGTCTCCCTCTATACCTGTGATCACCACCACAACCAAAAAAAATACAGCCTGTATTCACAAGATGCTGTTTGCACTCCCTGTCCATTTGCCTGCAGAAGTGTGTGCACTGATTTCTCATGTTCCTGGCTCATCTTATTATACACACTCATGGGTCATTAAATCAAAGATTAAAGCAGTTGTTCTCAAAATCTTTTAGAGCACCTTATGTAAGAAAGGGACCATACTGCTGATTGCTTCCCTAACCATTGGTGTCGCTCTATTTTGTTGTGACATTTATAGCAATTGCTTCTTTGACAAATTACACTAGAAGTATGTTCAAAACATCTGCAAATACTTCAGTACAATTTAGGATTACTAATCACTTTCTTATTGCTAGGAAGTTCTAGGTTTTCCATCATTTGAAATTTTCTAAGCTGAGGCATATACACCTAACATTTGATGTTACTGTTCAAAATTTTAAAATACAAAAATATTTAAGTTAGAACAGTGGTCCTTAAAATAAGGAACAAAACCCAGCAACACCCTTACTCTCTTTGAGCAGTATCTTAAGCCCCCATGAAGTCCCATAGAAGTCATCTGGGCCATACCGAAAATAATGTATTAAATGTGAGTCTGGGTTTCACACTATGCTTATGGTCAGGCTGCATGATTCTACTAGTAATGTTAGAGTATGCTGAAATGAAGTTTCTTCTTAGTGTAACAATTCAGCCTCTCCACTGTGATGTTGCTGTGATGCTGTGCATTGACTTGAGCTACCACAATTAAGGATTTAACATTTCTTTATGCCAACTTTAAGGCCTGATTATTAATGAGATGCTTGACAATAAAGTTTACTTTTAAAAAGAGCAAAAATTGTATCCTAATGTGACAACTAAATAATTTTCCTCTTGAGAATAAACAGTTGAGCTCATCTGTATCCGTGAGCTGGTGCAGAGATACTGGCTAACAATATTAACTGGCTATGTCTCGTTTTTCAGTATCATCAGCTTGTTAGAAAAAATTATATTAAACTGCACTTAATCATCATATGCACATATACTACTTGTGCAGAAAATAGCTGCCTTTTGGTTTGCTAATTAAACTGAAATGCAGAAAATAGCAAACCTGTGTGAAGATGAGAGTCTCAGAGCTCCTGCTGTCCAAGCTGAGCACAAATCTGATGGACTGGAAAAGCTCTTGGATGCTGGAGCGGAACTGTTCCTCCTCCATTCCGCAAGTAGCTCTGGAGTAAAGGATCCGAGACTGGACAATGAACTTGAAAAGATATTCCAAGGCCTTAAGGAGCAGGAAAGGAAGAAGATTAAGACAGAGAGAAAGAAAAATAAAGTAGCTTTAAAGAGAACCAGGAAAGATTCTAGGTGCACAATTAATAACTAAATTCTTCAGATTTAGAAAAGAGAAAAGAAAAACAGGTTTTGTAAGTTATACAACTCAGTTAAGGAAGGGCTACTCACAGGCAAGTATTTCTTTAACCAACAATCTTTGTTGCTGATATGTCCCACTAACAGAAAAGGTACGCATTTAACTTAAATAGGCAAACTTGAGTCCCATGATTTGAGGAAAATCTTGGTGAAGATAAGAGATTTATAGTTTTCCTATGACTTGGCACAATGATTTACTCTGAGACTCTGAGGAAACTATTTTCCTTGTTTTCATTTGGATTTTACTTTGAATCACTTGAGTTAGTTAGCTAATCTGGATTAAGACAGATGGACAGTCAATGGAACAGAAGAAGGCTTACCTGGAAAAAGGAATATCTACTCTTCAATATGAATGCAATAGCAACCTCTCCCTTTATTTCTTACAACTACATGTACAAACAGAAATAGCTGCAGATGCAGAAACAGAAGACAGGAGCTGCACGTAAAGCCCTCCGGCAGCCCATACCAGTAGCACACAGCAGTTGTACCAGATAGAGTAAATGGGTATCTTTTTACTTACAGCTGGGTAGGTAAAAAAATTATTTCTTTTTTATCCTCAGACAGGAAACTTGGAGAGCACCCAGCAGCGGGAAAATAATCTCCACAGGAGATGGAGATGGCATTTAACACCATTATACAACGTGTGATAGCTGCTGAAGTCCTGAAGGACTGCCAAAGTGGATCTTTATGTAGCAGAATGAAAATTTGCTCTATGGCATGTCTAGAAGTCTGAATTTGCAATCTAAACAGCTTTAACCAACCTTTTGTAAATGGTGCTATTCAGAACTCCAGTCTACATGAGCTATTTTAATATATCACCATTTTATCTGGCAGCAGCGTAAATGAAGAAATATATATTGTCCTATGCAGCATTTCACATGCTTGCCAGCCTATCATAATCAAAGGTCCTCACAGACACAGAAATGGCTATTACAGCAATGTAATATCCCACATGGCAACAAGACCTTTCTGATTATTTGGTATACACAGCAGTCAATATTGAAAGGTACTTCACATCGGTGCCTGAAAGTGAGATGCCATTAAGGCAGGATTAAGGGAAGACATGATGTATAGTTTGATGATATCGTCATAACTCAGCACAGGAAAAAAAACAGGCTGGAGATCCAATAATCATAGTTTACACAGAAACATTAGTAATATTCCACTGTATTGGCTGCAAAGTATTGCTTCTCTGCTTCACTGTTTGGAAGTTGAAACTGAATTGTGATGACAACTTTTGCCCTAATGATGTATTTTTTAATACATAAACTAGCCCTTACTGAACCACCACACAACATGTAAATACACAGCGTTACGACCTAAGTTTTAAAATTCTACAGCTTTAACTACAAAAAAATGGGAATGTGAAGTGCCTCATGAACACATCTTAGTTTTCAAAATCCCACTGATATTTAAAGTCATTTTTTGAAGAATGATGGCAACTTTGGTAATCTGGCAGTACAGTACTCATACTTCTCCAGTAAAATATCTCCCAGCGAAGCTTCCTTTCACCAAAGAACTTCAACAGGAAATAACAGTTTATATTCTTGGACAGTTTCCGGACAAAGGTGAATTGGTTCACAAAAGTCAGCTCTTTGAGGTAGCATCTCTGCTGCTAACACCAAATACAGCAAGTCAAGTGCAGGTACAAGCTGTTTTATCGTTTTGGTACAGGCAACCATAATTCCATCATTAAAGCACACAACTTTAACACGAAGATTAGGTTTTGCAATGAATCTGGGGATTTATGTATGAAATTCTGTTGAAAGAGAAATGACATGCTTTCAAAGACGCACTATATCCTTAGCACAGACAACCTAAATAGTTGTCTAGAATGAACTCATAAAAGCAGTTAACCAGAGTGAAGTGTGTTTGCAAACACATGACTGAGATGGTAAAAATACAAACCAAGCCCTGTTAGTGAAATCAGCAGTTAGACTACTTTGCATCTTACTACTTACACAATCACAGATACGATGCATACAGCCCCTTAAAGATGCAGAAGGGCAAAGAAATGAAATTGGAGCCTTCTGTTATGATTGGGCATGATATAAAAGCACAGAGATGCAAAAGGGAATTTGGTGCTTAATTGAAAAAAGTTCCTCAAAATGTAGTCGGTGTGCATGTCGACATGAGAGGTGTGCCCACCCCAATCACTTGTGACCAGAAATCTAAAGATTCATGATAGTATCACAAGAAAAAAATGAATCTCTAAATTTTCTCACTACACTCCAAGAGAGAGAAAGCAAGCAAGGAACATGTATACAGATAACACTTCCCAAAGAACTACCAGTTACTAATGAGTGACCTTCCTTTCTTCTCTGAGTGACTGCCCATATGCATGTTCATTCTGTGAATACAAAAGCAGCATATCTGAACTTGCACAGATGATTACCTCATGGTCAGCTGCAATGTCCCAGCAGAATTAAGAGATACTCTTCAGGGACGTGACTAAAGTCACTCGAGCATTCATGGAGCATGCTCAGACAATATTTGATAATTTTATTGCAGGACATTCATAGCATATCCAGTGGACAGTCTTGTGGACAGTACAACTGCACATCTGGACTCCTCTGCCACAGCAATGAAGAGTCTGTTTGTTAGAAAAGGCAAACTGCATCTGATGTTCTGAGTATGAACGGGTGAATCTACCTCAGATAAACGTGCTTAAAGGAGAAACACCGATTAATTTCCTAACCCAAGAAATTCAAATATTACTTTAGGAAGGAATCTTGGGTGTGTACAACTGGTAACCCTAATCAAGAAAAGTGTGTGTAAAGAGGATTAGCTCTGAATATCTGAATCGCTTTCAACCTTTATAGCCATAGTGAATAAAATTCATCTTCATCAAAATGTGAAGTGGTGAATATGTAGGCACAGCCCCAAAGGAAAGCCCCAAACAAGACATCAACATCAGGTCAAAATCCCAGTAAGGAACTAGAATTTCAGATGGAAGAAGGAGGTCTTGTTTTATTGTTCTTTATAGAATCTCACTGGGGCTTGTCAGAAAAACATGAACAGTCCTTCATATAAGAATGTTTGCAAGCTGCACCTTCACCAAACTAAAATACAGAGAGTAGCCTGTGAGCGTAAGGAGAGACACTCTTGCAGGGGTAGCAGGCTTTATTCCAACACTACACAGAAAAGCTGATCCACTTAGCCATTCAGGTGCAGCTAGCAAACTTCTTCCTGCTACTGACAATATTTTTTTCCAGAAATCAGCACACTTGCTTCACGCTCAAGAAGCTCACTTCTTCCTACTGCTCTAACACACAGTAGTAAAATAAAATGTGCAGAGATTCAAGTGAAGGTACCAACTGAGTCCTGTGAGGGCAAATCCCAAAAGCAGGCTGACCAAGGTGGAGCTATTACAGTTACCTCTGCAATGTTCTGGTGTTCCTGAAGACTCTCAGAAAAAATGAGACTGCAGAAAATGCAAATCAGCAAATGAGATAATTATTTCTGAATGAGGTAATTAAGAACAAGTTCACAGACAGATTGGTCTTAAAAGCAACAGATAGACATTTCTTTTTGGAAATCCAAGCTGAAGAGAATAATTTTGAAGACTCCCCAGGCTCAGAGGACAGCCTGAGAACATAATTCTGAATCTCTCATTAACCAGTTTCCCTGCCTGGTATGGCTCAGAAAATATGTTCAGGGTTTTCAAGACGGGGAGTGATAAGTATGACATTGCATAAGCCTTTTCCAAAAACTGACCTGTTTCTTATCACTAGCTCATTTAAAGCCTCGTGGTGGTGGTGGTGGTGGTGGTATGCAACATATCACTTTCTCTGAAAACGCTTGATGCATGTTCTGCATGGTTCAGCCCTAGAACACTGATATGAAGAGAAAATGTCTTTTTTTAAAAGTAGGTTCCTCAATCTAAGCAAAAGTGATCTGTGATTATACTACCAGAAGGTGGTTGAGGTTCAAAGAGTATCTTCTAAAGACATTTTAATAGTAGAGAAAGTAAAATTGTCCAAGGAGCAATCCATGGATACCTTGCTACAGAATTCTTGAAGGAGGCACAGACAGCTGAAACTGCATGCAGCTTAAGTGCAGCTTGTTATGGGGCACTACATAGGAACATGAAGCACAGCTAGAGAATTCCTTGAGGTTATAGTTCTTCCAGGTTTCATAGAGATTTCTGAGAATAAAGAGCAGTCTTGACTTGAGGGAGGTTATTTAGAAATAGTCCAGAATGCTCCTTGTTAATGCCAAGGTCTGAATCAGAGTCCTATGAGGCCTGTGATTATCCAACATGAATGAACATGATGAGTCAAGAGCCACAAAAGCGTACAGAGGGTTTTCAACACCTGCTTCAGGGTACTATATTTAACAGCTAATTCAGTGAAAGAGGGACAGAGAGCTACTCTGTTCCCTGCATTGAGGAGCTACTTGCTACTAATTGCTATGATTGTAGTGAGGACACCCAAGACCACTGAAATTCCTAACAGCAAAATATTCTGCTGGTAATGACATATTTTCAATGATAACAACTGTGCCAAATGGCTGAAGTACAATTTAGAGACAAAGAAGGAAATCAGTCACTTTTCTGTACAGGGAGAAGATTCAGATCCTATTTTGGGCCTCCAAGATATACCTTCAAAGGTGAGTGTCCAAGCAAGATGTGACAGCAGCATCAGTGGTAGAGGATGCGCTGCTAGATGCGCAGGATCTACAATGCTGTTTATACTTCCTACCTTGGAAAGGCTTGGGTCGAGAGGTCTCAAAATTGACCTCCCTCTTGGATGGGACGGCAACCTTCTAGGCAAACACACAGAGATTCCTAGTAAGCAGAGAGTTGCTTTAGAATCCTTGAAAGAATTCACCTGATTCACGAACAACAGGCTGAACAACTAAGCTTCTGAAAGGTATTCCAGCATTCCAATTTCTGAAGACGACTACTGTAAGTTCAACAAATGCAGAGCACATAGGGACTGTATTATACAGCTGTATCTGCTGCATTGCGTACTGCACTAATGAGCGGTTTGAGAGTGAAGAAAACCTTCTAGCAGCCATTCCAGCCAGGGATCTTCCCCTCATTTCACTATTTGAGAATAGCTTTTTTTGTAATACCCATATAATGAAGGATGAGGAAGTTGAGGTTCCAGCAGAATTTCTTGAAAAGACCTCTTTGGCCCATTTTTTTTTCATTGCGTATGAATCTGTAGTTGAAAAGCATTACCAAAAAAGAAGTTTCTAAGTATGTGACTATCTACAGAAGGCAAACATTGGTAACATCCAAGATCTTGAAAGCCAGTCAATAGAGGTGATGCCATATCATTCAAATGGAACGGGTATTCTCTTAAAAAAAAGATCTCCTCAGAAAAGCTGACTAAGTTGGACCAAAAGAGACAAAACAAAGATAAAAAATATCACAAGAGGAAAAAACTAGCAATAATAAAGTCTGAAAGGTATGCCATGACATGAGTATAAAGACATTTACAAGGGAAATTAAAGAAATAGTATAGGCTTTGTATATTTGTACTCATGTGGAAAAATGGGAAAAAAGAGGGCTCATCCCTGCAACTACTACTAGTTCTAAAACTCCCCTCTCTTGAACGTTTGGACATAAGCCTATGCACAGTAAGAAGTGTATCAACAATCACTCAAAGAAAAACAAATTTCTGTAAGTTTGGAATCTTGTGTTTATGTATTTATGCAATATCTTTTTGTTTTACAATTATCTATAGTAAAAATAATACTTTATTCATTCTCTGAATTCTCTCTAAGAACACAAAAAACATTCCCCTTGTTTCACCCACACCATTGAAGAGCTGTGTCTTCCTGCAAGATCATACTCTTGTCAGGGAACAGTGATTCAAGTCCTGAGCAATGACAGCTGTTAAAATCTCCATGCAGTTGAAGGCTCAATTATTCGCTTCTTAAAATGCTCCAGAATACATTAATACCTTTAAAATATTGCTTCTCGAAGTACAAGGTATAGATGACATATATATGGCCAGTGCATATATAGTCCATGCAAGACCCATCTCAGTCTTCAATAAAGCTTCAACAGGACTTAAGAAGATATAGTTCTTCCTTTTTTTTTGCTCAAGAGTAAATCTTACCCCAGAATTAGAATTTTGGCAAAAAAAAAACCTTTAAAATTTTGATTTTTAAAAATATAATAACTTAAAAAAGTAGAAAGTCAGTGCCAGACTACACTTAATTTCATTTAAAGCTTCCCCAGAGCTTTTGTAGTCAAAGATGTAATAAACACACAAGTACTTCTGTTGAATACATACTCTCATTGCTTCCTGGATGTGGTCTTGTCGTACAAGCTCAGCTGAGCGGTCCATGTACCACTTCAAACATCGGATCAATTCTCTGAATATAATACACAGTGAAAAGAAGAGAAACTTTCAGCATCATTTTAAAATTAGTCAAGCAACAAATGTTTCGGGTTTTAGGGAGAATTCTAAAAGCTGGAGTCTTATTTCACTCCATTTCAATGATTAGCAATAGCTGTACTAGCTACTGAATTCACATAAAATATACATTTTTTTTAATTTCAAAATGAGAAAAAGTTTCTTCTCTGTAATTGACTTAGATCATGAAAAATACTGAGAGAATATCAAAAAGATGTTGAGAAAAAGACAGCTTGGATAAAGGCAAGCAGTATCATTCCAAAGGCAGAACATTCATTTTTTTTCTTTTTGCGAAGAAATTTCAAATCTCCTCTAAATAAACAGTTTTTGGAAACTGAAAACACAAAGAAAATAAATTCAGAAAAAGCCAGGATAAAATCCAGAGTCTTCTCACTCCTAGCAATAGGTAATATTCAGCAGCTTTTCTCTGAAGCCGTGCTGGAAAACTTCTGTCTGGATAGTTCTGCTTTTGAAAACCTCAGCTAACATAAAGGTTATGATTCTGATGCTTACATCATTCAAAAGCTTGATAAACACTATGTCTTGAAGTGATGGATAAACATAACCTACTTGTAAGCCAGCGCTCCTGCAAAATGCTTCTGAATGTAAGTGTCCATCACAGGTCGAAAATGAAAATATTTGCTGTCACGCAGCAGATTTATGATGAACACCTGCGGGACATGAAAAAGTGAACCCCTACTAAAACAAATTGCACACAGTCACTAGGGTTCTGTAAATAAGCTACAAAGGCTAAGGATCAACAAGATTCACGAGTTTCTTTAAACAGTCAATTCCTGGGTTAGTAGATGTTACTGTTCCTTTCTCCCAAGCGATGGCAAATACTGTTCTCCTTATATCTGTTGGTTGTAGATTATTATAAAAAACATAAGACTAGACACAGTGGAATATTTCACACCTTGTGGAAATAAAATACTAGTGAAATGGTGATAAGAAATTAAAATAAAAATATGATAAAGGAAAGAGAAAACTCGGCAACTTACCAAAGACTGAAAGACCAGCAGGCCATACTTTTCTGTGTTGTCATCCAAAACCACAAACAGCGTGTCAAGAATATCTTGTAGGAACTAAAATGACAAGAATAAGCAAAGAGTTTCAAATGCAATTATACCCCAAAGCTGGATTATTCCCCCTCCCTTGAAACTTGCGAAACATTTTCCAGGGAAAAACCATTTCTAGTTCACCTGGATGGTGTGATAGATTTTTATTTGTTTTTAGTAAAAAGAATTTTTCCCTTTACAAAGAAAATTCCTAAAATAAAATGTTATAAAAACAACAAAAAATATGCACACTGTGTATGGTTTTAAAATATAACATATAACTGAGTATTCCTTTCACAGTTTCTGAGCCGACCAAAAGTATAGCCTAACAGTGGCAAAACATCTTACTTCCACTTCCATATTGTAGCAGGATATCAGATACTGCTCTTCAACCAATATAAGTCATGGAAGCATGTTAACATGATGCTCCAAATTATGTTTAATATTAAAAGCTTTTGTTATATGACAGAAAGTAGAGATTTTGTAACAAGCATTAATTGATTCAAACTACATATTGCCAGCTGTTTCTTTCATCCATACCCCTGCAGCTTACTGAATGCTGATCATTCAGTGATTTTCTGTCCTGAAAGCACAGTCCTCAGAAAGGATCACTGTGAAGATGAATGCTGAAGATGAAGTCAACTGCTGATTCTGTCATCAAGATTTTGTAATCCATTCTAACTACATTTCTAATGTGGGAAACAAGAAATAAAACAATTTATGAAGGCTCTGAAAGGATAAAACAAATTTATTTTATCTGAATTATTCCATTTCAGTCTTCATATCTCAATGACAAATGGCAGCCAAAGTAAGGAGAGAATCTATTATCTTTCCCCTTGGAATAATCTAACCCATAACTTTTTATGCTTTTCTCTGTAAAAATCAGATATTTGTACTGCCTTAGAAAGAAAGTGAACAAAATATGGAATTTGTGTAAGATTCAAAAATACGGGACATGGGAGTTTCCTCCTGTGCTACTGTTACAGAAATTATCACGGAAGTTAAAATTCAAGATATGGCAACGCTCACATGAGTTACAAGGAAGTGGCTGTAATGGTAAATTACCAAGCAAGCGATGGACTCTTCGTTTGGTTTCTTTTTTGTTTGCTTGCTGTTACATATTTATCTCCTTCTATCTCCTAAAATTATCTGAGGGATTGCTGTTGTTGCCTTTGCATCTGGAACACATTGTTTTTGCCAAGACCACAAATATTCAAATGCAGTTTGAGGTTCCTTTGAGATAAGGAAGTTTGGGTCACATAAAGGATTGGCGTTTAGAGCAACAGTGACTGTAAAATATGATGTAATTATCAGAGAGGAGATAGATTCCTCATAGGTTAGACAAGTCAGAGAGCAATTGGTACACTTGGCAACAGCTCCATTTCACGATGCTGGGACAGGAAAATGGGTTTGCAGGATAGCTTGAAATTTGTATGCCTTACATTTGTAGCCTTTTGAGTAAAAGTCAACTTTCAAGGTTTTGCATGTGTTTTTATTCTATGCAGAAGATTTAGCACATATTTGCAAAAAAGTAGTAATAGAACAACTCTGCTAGCTAGTTGAAACAGCCAGGTTTTCCATCAGGTCTATTTCCCTCTCTCCAGAAATGACCAACTTCCCTGATTTCAGAGAATGTCCTTTAGAAAATACTAGAGATTGAAAAAGATAAATCTGCATGAAACACCACTAACAGCAGCTACGTCTGCATCAGCAAGCAGTGCAGCTTAATACAAGTGGATCTACAATGTGGTACAATTGGCACTGAAGACCCAATGCTCACTGTAAAAATGCGTGAAGGAATTTTACTTTGGACTAGCTCTATTCTGATCCCAATGACTGAATAACCATTAATTTTTGGAGTGCATCTTCCTGCTCACTTTCACCTGAAACAAATCCCAATTCATATACTCTGAGACTTCACAATGTGAATCAAAGTACAGTAAGAGGAAATATTCAGAAGTGCACTGCAGATCTGAATTGGCATGCTAACCATAGACACATCCAAAGACTAGTACCTTAACAATTTCCTCGCCACTGACATGTCTCAGTCTTCCCAGGATATCCATTACACGATCTGGGTAAGCTTTCCATTTCAGGAGGGCAAGCAGATCCACTACAGAACAGTGAGAGAGAAAGGTGTATTCAAGTCAATGTCACAAACGTAATAGGGATGGGCAGTAACACAGCTGAAATGCTTGAGATTCGGTATGACAGATGTAGAGCACAAGCGTCGCCAGTACATGAAATAACCCAGGATTTCACTTTCCATTGTCTACTTGGATCTCAAAACTGTAATTTAAGTCCTGCTCCTAACGCAATACAATAAAGTGAACTACGACATAAGTTAATGAAAAGTCTCTCTAATGCTACAATAGTTCAGGAATCACCCCCATGACACACGAAGCTAGCAGGTTAAGAACAAAACCCCAGAACAGCTAGAAGTTTTACAGAGGGAAAAAGAGCAGCCCCATATAGAGCAGAGATTCATTATATGCGATAGATCTGTTCTTGTTGCAGTTCTTATTTCTTGCAAAAAAAAAAAAAAAATTGTGGCCAATCCACTTTTGTCTTCCTATGCCTCAGGGAGCTTGCAGCAACAAGTTTTGACTTACTTAGTAGCTCTGTAAGAGCCTAATAAAATGAACTTCGGATTGTGTAGAAGTGGTAACTTTGGATTTTTTGTTCTTAGACATTTAATTAAAATTAACATTGCTTTAACATACTACCTTTCGCTTGCACTTACAGAAAAGGCTGTTATTTCTCTACCATTTGTCAATATCCTTATTTCTTCCAAAAAAAATTCTGCTCATTTCAATACAGAGTTAGTAGAGAAGTGCATACATATCATCAAATCATAACAAAGAAATATTTTAGTAAAATAACAGAGAGAGAGCACAAGCACACACATCTTAACTCTCTTTTTCATATTACCTTGGGCAATTGTGAAGGATTGGCTACTTACCATTCTGGGTTAGTTTGGTAGAAGAGAGCTGTGTGGAGACTGAAAAGGTCTCTTTGGTGCTGCGTTGGAAAATGAGACTGGAAGGGATGTTGGGGCAGCCATTGTAGTCCTCTTTGCAGCAAGGCAGCCCCAGGTACAATGCGTGATTATTAAATGTGCTGTTCTCGTCACACTGCAGACATAGGAAAGGACGTGGAATTTTACCTAAACGACTTATTTCCTTCCACAATTCCACACATTCACGCCTTGAGAGGAATTGCCTAACAGATCTCCTGGGTGCACAAAAACACTTTTAAGAGAAAGCAGTCCTTACTACCTTCACGGCCAGTACATGCACAAAATAGATGCAGCTTTAGAAAACGTGGTCTCCTAGCCATTGATTCCTTAGAACTTTCAGGATCTTTCAGCTGTACAATTTAAGTGTTGCTATCTGAAAGTCACGCTGAAGGAAAAACTGAGCAAAACCAGCAGGAAGGAAAAAAAAAGATCACACTGCTACAGCATTGCTGAGCTGTAGCATTGTAACATGCTGCATTTGAAGTCTTTGGACAAAACACCATGATTTTATAGCATAAAGGTACACAGTACCATAGGCTGATGAAACTGGTGAATGCGCACAGACACCAGTGCATGTCTGAATTCAAAATAGATAGAAATAACAGAAGATAAACCATCATAATCTGAGGGGAAATGATGAGTTGTACCTAAAGTAAAAAACTGTATCCATATCTAGTCATGTAATTTTGAATTTACAGAATTTTTAACCTATTATTAATCTGTTCCTCACATTTTTCTAATGAGGAAAAAAGAAAAGATAATGTAATGACATTTATTTACTTAGCCTGAAGCAGAGATGTAAGTAAGTGAAAAGGCTGCAGTGCGTGTTTGAAGAATTATGAGCTACCTTTAGAATCGGTACCTTATAAACATAAAGCTCGTGAATATCATCCGACAAGGTAGTGCCATCATCTCTCATTAATGGAGTGAATGCAAAACCAAAGAGCTTCTTTTCTCCCTTGTCTTTTGCTGCAGCAAGAGATAGAAATAAGAAATCATATTTCTATATATTCTGCCTGTCCATATATGCCACAAGCTTACTCTCTAATTTCTCTGTATTCTTACCAAAAAAGCATACAGCCCACATAAGAAATGAGATATAACGAACTATGTCTAAATCTATGCAAGTAATCAAAAAGCCTCAAAACAAATACATACATGCTGACTAAAGTATAAAATGTACATGCTGCAAAGAAAACATGCTACAGGAAAAACATAGCAAAAGAACAGCAGGGTAGAACACCTGCGAACTGTTTCACCCTGCACTGATTGCTCACAAAGTTTTTAATATTTGTATGCCATTTAATAACTGTAGCAACACTGCAGGATAATCAACATTGCACTTTTACTGTTCTTCAAGATTGCGCCCTTTTCCCCTTCCCAATAACAACCTCATCCAACTATTAACTGACAATGGAAAGACATTAGCCTTGTTACATTTCTTTTGGATATGTTTTGCACTCACTGGAGCAGTGTCTGAACTCAAACCGGAGATGAGACCCACGAAACCTGTCTATGGGGATGGGCAACTTGATGATTTCCCCCCAACGAGGGCTGTTATTGTGGTAAAGGACAAAAGAGTGATATGCGCTCCTGCTTGGCTCTCCTGAGCCCAGGCTGATGCAGTCCTGGAACAAAAGAACACAATTTAAGACAATTTAAGACTAAAAGACATCACATCACTACATAAAAGTCACTTTATTATACTGTGCTAACCTTTATATAATTCATATCTTTCTGTAGAAATAAAGGAAGGGTCAGAAGCAGAAACTCAGACACAATGAAATCTGAAAGTTTTGAAGAGACTGTGCTTTGGGTCAAAGGATGAGCTATGGGACCTGTGCTACTGAGTTACTTCAACCTGAACTTGTTTGCTCTCCTTCTTCATTATTATTTTAGTTTTCCATCAAGCACAGGATATATTCAATAAACAGGTGAGTAGTATTAAAAAAAAGGACTGAATAAACTCATCACTTGTGATAGTGGGCTTCTCTGAAAATATCATTCAATCAGATTTTTGCTTCTACATCTCAGTACAGAAACAAGATCCAAACTTTTCAAGCTCTTAAAAATGTTAGTTTTAGCAACTATAAGCATCCAGCCTCACTGAGTCAAATGCCATTGGTCCAGTATCCCAGAAAATTATGATTGACATTAGTGGTAAGCAAAGAATATCTATTAAAAAAGTCCTCATGAAAAATATTGCTGCATCTAAAATTTCTACTTTTGGCTACAAAAAGCTCAGCGATATCGACCAAACCATGTATTTTCAAAACACAGACGAAGAAAAACAGGAATTCATTTCTTTTAGAAGTCACAGTCACAGAATGAGACAAGAAAGTTAGGAGAAACACTGAAGAAAGAGCTAATAAGGACACTAACAAGCCCCTGGTAATGAAGGCATAGAGCAGGCAGCATATTTTCTTAAATGAGCACTAACCCGTGCTCTAGACCTAGTACTTACAAAGTGATCTGAAAGATCTGCCATCTTTTAAAACCACACAGAAAGGAAACAGCTTAGAGTTTCTTCACTTTTCGTATCTCTAAGCATAATGAATCCATGAAGAAATAGAAGCTAAGCAGACACAAAATGATAAACAGAATATAAATTCTTATGCGAAAGCACCTCTCAATACCCCACAGACCTGACAAGAACTACAGGGCATTTCCCCAAAGTCCCTAAGGTCCTCCATTCCCTAAATTCTCTTCTGAGAAACACTGCCAATATTAATTTGATTCAGTCTTTTTTTATATGCGAGAGAGTGACTATCAAGCGAAGTATATCCCATTAACCAGATCCAGTTAGTCCAGCCAGTACTAATATTCGCCAGAGTTTGAAGAATGTGTGAAGAAGCCCAGAAAGAAAGCAAATGTCATTGGGATTCAACACAAGGGCAGCCCCTTTGGACAGAGATCTAACGCTCAATCCAAACAGTGACTGCAGCATATACTCAGGGAACTCAATCCTTTCAAGTAAATTCTTCATAACCATGTGGTATTTGTGACAATCCAGGCCTAAAGACACCTTTCACATAGGAATGAGAATTTGACTGTTACAGATATTAACAGGTTGGAGAGAGCAGCGGTACTGAAAAACAGAGTGCCTGTAGTCTCCCAGTGATATTATTTGATAAAAGTAACCTGCTGGGCTTCGACACGGCAACTCCAAAAAGTCATTCTGCATTAGATTTTTACGAGAAAACAAAACAGTGTATTTCTTCTAAAAGCTACCTGCTGTGGCAGACAAAGGCTCAGTCTTTGAATTATGCTTCATGCTGTAAACTTTAAGGAAATGAATAGGTGAAGAGTCTTTTTCTGTTGTTGTTAGTGTCTGTACGTCTATACTACAAACCCTAGCCTGAGGAGGGGGAATTGTTTAATCTTTAATTCTGAAGTAAGGTGCAAAATGCAAACATGTAACTCGTCTCTATAGACACAGTTACCACGAGACCCAAATATGCAGGTGCACTGGAGGGTGCAGGCAAGTAAAGGAATTTAAACCAGAAAAAAGATCAGGATAATAATTTCATCATTTAAGGTATGCCCTGCAATGAATGAGATATTCTTGCTACCTGAACACAAACAAGAATAGAAGAGAAATGTGCCAAGGTTTTATATTTTTCTGACATTATTGAAAGATACTAATAATTGAGTAAGAACGTTTTGAAAAGGAAATACTTATTTTCATTTTGTGTAGCATAGTATTCTGGGAATAATTCTGTTGCTTTCAGTAGGACTATTTCTGGACCAAGATATACTCAACAGCAACGAGGATTTGAGACAGCCAGAATATTCTTATTATCACTGAGTACGGTTCCACTAAAGTCTTTACAAGGCTGTAATTCAGATTTAGATTGTGCCAGTCAGAAAAAATTGAGAGATTTTATTCCAATATTGATGGTCATTTTGTGGCAATTTCCACACTATTTTGCGCAACTTGGCACGTGCTTTCTCGTTTGGCAGCCCCTTCTTTGGAAAGGCCATGGGTCACAACAGTAAAGGATATTTCAAACAAGAACAGTAGTGCTTTGGGGTCAATAATTAAACTTTCAGTGTACTGTCCATACTACTGTAAGCTTGATCTAGAGATTTTTATTAGCTTCTCCACTCTCTTATGTACTAGAAGTTATTAAATAAACCTCCTAATTAGACAAATTAATTGGAAGGGAGAAAACAGCTACACCTGACTGTAAAAGAAACCGTAGATAACGCAAGTGATTTCTGCCGGGGCAGGGAGCCCCAACAAACCAATTCCCCTCATCAGTAATGCATCAAGCACTATCAGATGCACACCTTATTCTTTACATTTATATTAAAATGTAACATATATTACATTTCCCTTGCTTCAGTCATTAGTATTTGCTTTTACACTACGCAAGAAAACTTTATCTGACAGTCTCTCTAGAGCTGCTTCTTTTCCTCGTATTTACAGGAAAAAAAAATCTATGCTGTCCCTGAGTGAAACCAGCTCCCCTCCTAATAGAGAAAGGCAGGTCGTCACAGGCATGTGATTAAAAGCCCACAGCTCTAGCTGTCTGCACTGAAGATTATATAAATCAGATGGATGCAGGAAAAATAATGTATCTGGAAACTATTGTCAGTGGGTTTAAAACAAAATTCTTGATACAAAAGCTGAAACAACATTCATTTCGTGGCATATTAAAAATACCCAGACTGATAAGACTGTGTGGATACCTGCCTTTCTCAACCCCCCACTGCACAGGTGGGACTATTAGAACTGATGGAGCTCCTCATTCTCAGAGCTTTTTACCTCAAGTATGAGGAAGGTTTGAGCACAGACATTACTTGCCTCTATTTTGCAACTAAAATCTACATTCTAAAAGTTGATCCAAACTGAAAATCTTCTGTTTAAGGAGCTGAACTGTTATAATTTCCAGAGCGTTTCTATAGACTTAGAGCAGCTTTATACACTTAAATAATAAACAATGAAGTGGCTTAATAAAGCCACCTGTCTTCTACAAGGACAAGGACAAGGATAAGGATATTAACATTGAATGGTAAGTTACCCCACGAAGCTAAAAGTAACCCAGATGGCTAGTCTCATTTGCTTTAACTACAGCAGAGGAATTTGCAGAATTTTTACGTCAAGCAGAAACTACGGCAGAGATGAAAAAGAATGAGACATGATTAGTCTCCAAACTCAATTCCACATACTAGTTTCTTTCTTCTATGTGCATATGGTTATAACGCCACATGGACATTTAGCAGTTTGGAAGTAGGTCTCTATATTCAGTTCAATTCATGTTCGATTTTATATGTTATTTTTCTAGTTCTATTCTGCAGGAAGAGAGAACACAAACGTACCTAAGCAGCGAACAGGGGTTCAAGTTAACGGAAAGAAGAGTTCAACTTTCAATGTCCTACCCAGCCCTTTTATTTATTTTTCAGTAGATATGTTAGCTCGTATCTTTATTTCTTACATAGAAAATTTTATTTATTAATTAGTTAATTTTTATGCTGAGTGCTTGAAATACAATGGATCTTAGGCATCATTATATATCATGAACCAACAATCTCCTTGACACAAACCAAGTATCTTTCCTGCTTTGACTGGAGCTACACAGAGGAGCACTAACATAAAAACCGGTGTGAAGATTTTCCTTTCAATATGTGGTTTAAATGCCAAAAACACAAAAGATCCTTTGTGTGTAACGTTAACAGTCTCTCTGTGACGACAAATATGTTCACTTGAATTTTTCTACTTGGTCAACTACCTTTTACTATTATTTAGGTGTCTACAATGCCTGATCCCCCAAGCCACTTAAAGCTCTGAAGTACTATTAAAGTAATAATAACAGGTAAGAGTAAGAAAAAGACAAGTTAATATTTGGAAGTGACCTCTCCAACTGAAAACACAGAAGAATGTAGACCGAATGTCTACAAATTACGTGGCTTTTAAATGTAAATGTAACTCCTGAGCCACAGCTATAGCATAATTGGCCACCACTAGCATTTAAAGATTCTGATACCGCGTTTTGAGGGAAAAGACCTGCAGGGGTCTTTGGCAGACTGTTGTGAAATAAAGTAATGATTAAAAATACATTGCTCAATTTGATAGACATGTCTAATGCAATTAAATCAAAAAAGATTGTGACCTTCCAGCGACAGCTCCAAGCACAAACCACTGCCTTACAAGAGAGCTACTTAATTTCTAATCAAATCACATTTTGTTGCGGGGAGAAAAAAAGATATGAGGAAGTTACTAATTAACACATTTTAATACAGCCATTTCTCCGTTGCTAACAGACGTTTGTGTCAAAATACGTTGTTTATTTGTCTTCCCTCATCCTCCCCTTGCCCCACACAAAACTGACCCATCTACCTCTCCCTTCTTTTCTTCAATACAGACTAAATTTAACACAGATAAGAGAAAGAAAAATGTTAAACATCATCATCATCCAAAGCTGGAATGCAGCCATCCCAGGGTGAAAGCCAAGATCTTTGAAATAAGGCTACTTATTTTCCAAAACTACATTCAGTACTACAACTCTAACAACTCTGATTTAAAACAGTCTCTCTCTTGTAATCATAGTCAGCCATGTTGTGCAATATATGTGATTTCATTTTAGATAGGTCATATACTCTTCAATTCTTTCTCAGACTACAGTTATTCTACATTTTCTTTCTACTACTGCGACTGCTATCGCATTTTGAAATTTCATAAGCTTTGTCAATTTATGAATATTTTCACCATGTCCCCCATTCCCAAATAGCAAAATTGCTCCAAATGCTTTCAAATCTAAAGAAATGAAGAGCACTTACTTCATCACAAAACAGATTAAAAAGTTAGCCAAAAAAAAAGGCAGAAGGAGAGCTTTAGAGCTTCCCCAGCATCAGTGACAACCAAACAAGAGAATTATGTGAATGGAACAAGTGGATGCACTTGAAGCTCCAAGTGGAAACAACCATCTTACCTTCAAGATTTCTCCATCTGCGTACAGAACATACATGGTCACTTCGATGTTCTTCTGCACGCTCTT